CCCCCACAGTTAGGACTTCTTGGGCCAGATGTCTCTTATTAGCATAGGCCCTTAGCTGCCCGGAGGAGCTCATTCCCACACACCTTCATTCATCCCACGGCAATCTGGGCAGAAGTCCAATCCCGTTACTAAGAACAGGCAGAGAAGGGAGAGTCTGAAAAGTCTGGTTGAAGAGCAGAGGGTAAGGTCTCTTGTGTTAAGATCGGTTGCCTTACAATGGACAAAAGTCTGGGCACCCAGGCGAGCGAGCGCAGAGGCAGTCCCTAGGACCTGTGTGTGGACTCCTGCTGGCCACCCCATGTCCATGCACTCGCAGGATTGCACCCGATCCGTATTAACACCCTCACCTTCCCTGCCTGAGAGAGTCCCGTGTGGGAAAGCCACCAGGGAGCGGGGAGCCTGCTCATCCCAGTGACCTCACGGGGGGCTCCGGGCCTGGGCTCCCAGCGGAGTGCAGGCGTGCGGGGCCATGTGTGCGAGGCGTCTTGCCGGAAGCTACCTCTGAAAGCCCCGAGGGGTTGCTCAGAAATCTGGGGCAAGGGGAAATATTCATTAGCAAAGGAATTTCCTGGGGCATCGACATGACCAGCCCGGTCTTTCTTTCCTAAATCTTGTAAACAACAACAAAACACTGCTTTCCAGGAAATTTTGCTGTTTGGCAAATGCTTGGTGTTTCAGTTCAGTCTGAAGGATGGACTCGTTGGTTTCCCTGGGAAAACGTGCCTTTGACAAACAGCACCTTGTGTCTGACCGGGAGAAATTCCTCACTCTCCTCTCACGCTTTTCTTGTTCTCTGTGACGGAGAGGGAGAGAGACCCCAGACTTTGTGGAAATACTTCCCTTTACTTTTTTCTTTTCCTTCTTTTTATAGTTTGTTTATTTTTCAAGTTCACATGTGTAGAGAAAGTGAGTCACTAGCGCAGAGAGCACATCTGGAACCCATCGGCCGCCCAGGCCACCCCTCCCCGCGGGCGCACCTCCTTGGAACGGGAGGGACAGCAGCCCCACTGGTGCGACGCGGTCTAACCTGGGTGATGCATGGCGGAGACACCTTCTAGAAGGTGCTTCTCCCAAGTGCCCGTCCCATGCAGCAGCTTCTGGGTCAGGCCCGGCGCTCTGAGACATACAAGACTACCTTCCTCAGCACTGGCCTCTATTTCTAACTTGTTTTTGGGAAATCAAGCAGTGATCAGACTCTTACAACGAAAAGTCAGATGGTGGTCCCTGCCAGGCCCCAGATGCTTAACTTTTAAAATGAAGAAAAACGTGAGCATTTGTAATGTGTACATCTTGCCCCCATGGGGACTTCTCCAGCTAGCCAAGTGCTGTTAGCCTCTGCGGGGACCCTCTGCATCAAAGCCCCCCCTAGACACCAGCCCGGTGCTCAGAAATCTAAGGCAGCCCATGGATGCACTGGCACAAGCTCACGGGGATGCCCCCACCCAGGCCCCGTAGCGCTTGTTAGGACAGCAACCTGTAGAAACCCCCCTGTGTCCACAGACAAGGGTGGTTATGCATCTGTTTCCTGACAGGAGCAGGAATTACCAGCATCCAAATGCACCTCCACCTAGGACACGGGTGAGCATCACGTTGGCAGAAAGATGCCAGGCACATTTGTAGGCTATGGGGCCCCTTTTACGTGGAGGTCAGAAACAGGCTCCTGCCCTCGAGGGGGTGAGAAGCCAGCCAGCGGTCCCTTTGGGGGTCGGTGGTGGCCGGGACGAGTGGAACAGGCTGGCCTCCCAGGAGCGGTGCTCGCAGTGCCCAGCACTCCTCAGGATGGATGTGGCCCGAGAGCTGATGCCCCACCTGGTCCCGAGCCAGGCTGGCCGCTCCGAGCTGGCAGGTGGGAGGGGCAGAGTGTTCTTTCTGCAAATTCAGGTCCTGCCGTGCCCCTGAGAGGTGGGGGCAGAACTCCTCTGTGATGCTTTTGACCACAAGTAACAGCGCTCAGACACATCCAAAATCAATCTGGCCTTTGGCCCAGCACGTAACTCTTGGGATGGTCTACGGTCTAATGTTGGTAATCCAAAGAAAATAAGCTTTTAGATTCTAAAGACAGCCAGATGTCTTCCAGTTACAAAAAATGCGGAGAGTAGCATTTAGCAAGAGATGTTCTGAAAAAAATGTGCTCTCTGAGTGATGAATATTTAATCAAGGGAAATGATAAATCAGGCATTAGTAGAAAAAATACATTCACCCTCAAAACGCATGGTTTGGGTGGCTCTCCGGCACATCTTACACTATTTTCATTGTGGTGGTTCTGCTGCTGGGTATCGCCTTCATTGTTTGCTTGTTTTCCTGCCCTGCTCAGTTCTTTCAAAACCCTGCCTGTGCCGCGAAGAAAAGTCCTTCACTTGTCTGTCCTTGCTCTTTACGTCCAGGAGGTCCAGGTCCCACGGGTTTATGGGCACATGCGTCCCTGTCCTTGCTTATGGCCCCTGCGAAGGGGTGGGGTGCGTGCAGAGGAAAGGATGTACGTGGCGGGGAGTTATCCTGGGGAAACAGTCACAGCCGACAAGCCGAAGTTGTACTGTGGTTTCCAAACCTTTTGGATGTGGCTGCTTGGAGCCCTTTCTCCCCATTGTGGGTGCAAATTCACGAACAATTCACATTCCTCGCCCTTTCAGGTAACACGCGTGTTTCTACAATTCAGACTGTGTGGGTGGTCACTCACTCATGATTGCAAGTCATGCTCACCACATGCGCGTCATCGTTGCTGGGACGGAAGCCCCTGGTGGGGGAGCAGGACTAGTGGACAGAGTGGCTGCCAGCGCATGGCACCGGGCTGCCTGGCGTGGGGCGTGTGGAGGCCTCGGGTCTGCCGCTTTCTTTCAGTTCACGTGCACGGCTTCAGTTTTGGGGGTTCAGACAGTTTGATCTGAACTCTGAGTTTTCAGCCAAGTCCAGAGTCCAAGTGGACCTAGCGCCGGCAGGGAAATAGCCGTTCCCCAGCCGCTGCTCCCTCCGTCTCTCGGTGGGGCTGGCTGTGCTCCGGGCTGTGCCCAGGGCCCGGAGAACAGAATGAGGCCGTGGCAGCTCCATTCGTGGCTCACAGATAAAGACTCAGCTGACAAGCAGCAGGAAAGAGCAGAGCCTCCGTGGGGCACCCGTGAGCGGACAGGCGCGGTGCCCCGATGCGGTGTGAGTATGAAGTAGGCCCCTGCAGGTGGCGGGCTCAGAGGTGGTCAGCCGCGGCATTATTTACACTCCTTAAACGACAGCCTGCGATTTGTTGTAAAAAGGGTCGAGTGGGCTCAGGGAGGTCTGGAGGGGCTGTGGGCTGACTCCAGAAAGTGTTGCAGAGCAGGAGGAATTTGTCTCAGGGTGTGAAGGACAGGCCAGAGTTAGAGAAAGGTGCGGGAGGGAGCGGTGGGGGCAGGGGCCGGCGGGACAGCAGCCCACCGAGCTGACCCATGCGTCTTCAGGGGCCTCTACTGACCTGCGTGCATGGCGCAGGCAGCCCCTGGAGGCCAGGGCCCACGGGGCTTCTGGAACAGCCGCACATGCAAGCTCCAGCACATTGGGAGAAGTCTCTGCAGCAAGGGAACGGAGCGGCTCTTCCTGACCTCAGAGAACCCGAGCCCCCTGATGGAGGGGAGGGTCTGAGAGCCTCCTAGGCTCCAACCAATGCCCGCAGGGCCAGGAAACAGTGACCTAGAGGGAGCGGGGGGACCCACGGAGTTTCCTCTCCTTCTTGTCCGAGAGCAGCTGCCCACACTGTGCCCCCGAGTCCTTCCAGGACTGAGACCCCCTTGGGCCCTCTTGGTACCTAGCAAGATCCCGCCACACCCCAGAATGCAGACCCCATATCATTTGGGGAGCTCTCTCTGAACCCAACTTAAGGCTATGGCTTAAACGTTGTAAAAGTAAAAAAAATACTCATCACTGGACACTCAGAGGGCTGTTTTAAGCTAATCTCATTTGATTGTAGCAGATATTTAATCATATATTTCTAATTTAAAATCAGTGGGTCCACTGAAAGCCACATCCAGCTGTGATGTCACACGAGGTGATGAGCAGGGCCCCAGGTGAGGGTGGGAAGTATCTGGAGGGGAGGGGAGATTAAACCCCGGCCATCGAGGGTCTGGCGCTTGGCTTCTGACAGCGGTCTGTAGACCCCCAGGTGGGTCATTTCTTTCAGTTCACGTGCACGGCTTCAGTTTTGGGGGTTTGGACAGTTTGATCTGAACTCTGAGTTTTCAGCCAAGTCCAGAGGCCAGGTGTTCATCCCTGCCTTTCCTCCCATCACCCACGGTGGAGGTACGGGTTTGGGTTCTGCTGTGCCTTATACTGCCCTTCCTTCCGTGGCTGCGTGGCCCTGCCTCTGGCCTCTCCTGGAGGCCGTCAGGACCCGACTCTGTCCCCAGGCCTGGTCCCAGGGATGCCATCGGGGCCACGGGTGGTCACCATGTGGCTTCAGGCTCACTGGGGGGGGGGGAGGGTGGGCTTCCTGGAGGCTTCATTCTGGTTCCATCCTACTGCATTGTCCTGGGATGATCCTGTTTGTCTCCGGGTCACGGGGAATCATGGTTTGGTGGCTCCCGTGTGGTGGATCAAGGATGCACAGTTAGCACTCACAAGTGCCTTGGGATTCCCTGATGGATGTTTATTCGGTCTGTGTGTCATTGTTACATGAGTGAACGACCGTGGCGCTCACGCACCGATCTCCTTCCTGGAGGCTGCAGACACCAAGTGGCTTCCCGTGGCCACCTCAGCGCCCGGGGAGCTCTGGGCCCCTGTGTGACCACCCTTTTGTACGCTTGCGGAGTTCGGGTGCCTTCCTCCAACTCTGCTGTGGCCGCTGCCCCTGGGTGGTCTCGGAGCCCCTTAATCGCTGGGCGCCCCTCTTTTCTCTTTGCAGGCTGCTGCTCTGCACGCCCTGGCTGGGGTCCAGCCCGGGCCACCCCTGAAGCCTGAGCCAGAGCCTGTTCTCGGGAGATGAACATGCCCAGGGCGCCCTCTGGTGGGATCCGGAGCTGAGCCTCTGTGCGCCCGAGCCATGGCCACGGTCCTGATGCCGCGCCCCAAGCCCGGGAACCAGACCCTGTACGAGCACTACAGTTACGTGGGCAAGCTGGAGGGCAGGCTGAAGGAGGCCCCCGAGGGCAGCATGCTCACCACTGTGCTGTTCCTGATCATCTGCAGCCTCATCGTGCTGGAGAACCTCATGGTTCTCATCGCCATCTGGAAGAATAATAAATTCCACAATCGCATGTACTTCTTCATCGGCAACCTGGCTCTCTGTGACCTGCTGGCCGGCATTGCCTACAAGGTCAACATTCTGATGTCAGGCAAGAGGACGCTGAGCCTGTCTCCAACGGTCTGGTTCCTGCGGGAAGGCAGCATGTTCGTGGCCCTCGGGGCGTCCACCTGCAGCTTGCTGGCCATCGCGATAGAGCGGCACTTGACTATGATCAAAATGAGGCCGTACGACGCCAACAAGAAGCACCGCGTCTTCCTTCTGATCGGGATGTGCTGGCTCATCGCCTTCTCGCTGGGTGCCTTGCCCATCCTGGGCTGGAACTGCCTGCACGACCTTCCCGACTGCTCCACCATCCTGCCCCTCTACTCCAAGAAGTACATCGCCTTCTGTATCAGCATCTTCACAGCCATCCTGGCCACCATCGTGGTCCTGTACGCACGTATCTACTTCCTGGTGAAGTCCAGCAGCCGCAGGGTGGCCAGCCCCCACAACTCGGAGCGCTCCATGGCCCTGCTGCGGACTGTGGTCATCGTGGTGAGCGTGTTCATCGCCTGCTGGTCCCCGCTCTTCATCCTCTTCCTCGTCGACGTGGCCTGCAGGGTGAAGGAGTGTGCAGTCCTGTTCAAGGCCCAGTGGTTCATCGTGCTGGCCGTGCTGAACTCAGCCATGAACCCCGTCATCTACACACTGGCCAGCAAGGAGATGCGGCGGGCCTTCTTCCGGCTGGTCTGCACCTGCCTGGTCCGGGGCTGGGGCGCCCGCTCCTCGCCTGCCCAGCCCACTCTCGATCCCAGCAGAAGCAAGTCCAGCGGCAGCAACAACAGTAGCCCCTCACCAAAGAGCAAGGAGGACCCTCCGCAGAGAACCACCTCGCCCTGCATAGCCGACAGGAACAAAACGGTGCAGAATGGGACCCTCTGTAAATGAGGGCAGCGGCCTCCAGGAATAGGGATCCTTACACATCCACGGGACAAGGGGCGCTCTGCTCACAGCCACAGGTCTTATTTATTGCATGCCTCAACCCTGGGAGTTCCAGAGCTGGGGCTCGGGAAACCTATTTGCCAATAGCCTTCGTAGTGTGGACGTCACTAAGGGCGGACCCGAGGACTTGCCAGCTTATTCCACGGTAGACAACGTGCCTTGTCCGCTTCGGCTCCTGAGTCTTCCGAATGTCCCCGGCTGCTGACGTGATCTGCTGCCTTCCCCCGAGTCCCAGCGGCCACTCTCCATGGTGCCTGCAGAGGGAAGGTGGTGGTGGGCCACGCAACGTACGGCGTGCTTCCCCAGACGCCACAGTGAGGTTTGGGAACTTCACACTACGTTGACTGTGCACAGCGTGGATGCTGGTGCATTCATCACGTCTGGGCTACGGAGCCCTTGTGTTTCCGATGTCTGCCATCGGTACGTGGTACCAGTGGGGGCACGTGGTGCAGTGTCCTGCTTGAACCACCAGGTGTAAGGATGTGGCTAGAAACCAGGTACACACACCAGTCCCAGTCTCCTCAACTGACATGAAGTCTTGTGTTCAGCAGGCTTTGCCTGAATTCCCAGAAAGGGCTGCTCCCAGGTGGAGCTCGGGTGTATAGGGCTGACCCGGAGGGAACGGAGGACCAGAGAGCTTTGGGAGCGGCGCCCGTTTCTCCTCTGTCCCGTGTCCCTGTGGAGTCTTACACACATCCAAAGCCCCGTTCCTAAAGATCCCAGAAAAGCCAGCCAGGGTCCTTCAGGAGGCTGTCCCTAGGCCAACCAGGAAAAGAACCCATATGAGCAGAGGACAGACACCCTAGCCGGAAGCCGGAGGCTGCGGTCCCTTTAACGTGATGGAACGTTTGTCCTGAATTAGGAGAGGTTTACTTGATCCTGTGTGGAGTCTGATTCACTTTGACCAGAGAAGCACCGAGTCAGTGACCCCATGCTGTCCCCATGGAGAAGCTGGGGTGGTCGGCAGCCCCTGCCCCTCCCAAGCTGACCCTGACCGTGCCGTGTCAGGAGCGCATCTGGGATCCGGTGGTGTGCGCATTCTTCAAGGAAATGTAATGATGCTGTAATTCCCCTTTTCAGTATAGGTTGGCCGTGCGTCCCCGTTGGTAGGGAGTTACTCAGAAGGCGTTTCTGTGCATGCCTCCCCCAAGGATTCCACCTGCAGGACAGACAGACGAGGAGAACGTGCACACGTCTATAGAGATCTCGTAACCACAGAGTTGACGTGCTCGGTTTCTGGTAGAAGCAAAACAGAGCAACCTTCAGAAGGACTCCTACTTGGGCAAGCCCACATCAGAGCCCCTGAGGTTTTCTGGTTTGCTGGACGTTTCGGCTGAGTCAAGACTCAAGAGACGGCTCGATACATCAGCTCTCTCGAGGAGAGGTTGACTCCTGCATGCTGTCCGATGCACGTTCCTCTGACAGAGGAACATTCCTGTGGGTCCTGGGGGGTCTCCACTACCCACCAAAGACTTCCCTCACTTTTGTTATTGATGAGAGAAGTCCTGTTTGTCAGGAGACACTTTGCATGCTTCCTCACATCACTGAAAAGAGCTTATTCTCTACTCCGACAGTGTGTCTGGAAAGTAAAGCGTGGAGAAAGCGAGGCAGTGTTTCGGAGCCACAACCTTGGGCAGTGCGTGTTCATGTAGTGAACAAAGTGGCCGCAGGACCCCTCTGCACTGGCCCTGAGGGGCCCGGGAGCCCTGGGTCTCTGGAGTTAGTATTAGTGACACTTGCACCATAACCCAGCTTCCTGTTGCGAGAACGCAGAACTTTCAGGCAGTCTGAGTGAAAAATATGCCAAAAGAGTAATTGTGTTCATTTGAGAGATGCAGAAAACAATCAACCTTAATACCGCTGTGTACGGTATCCTCAGCAGGTGGCTGGGGGCGTGTAGGAGTTTCCAAGCCACAGAGAACTCGTGCATTAGATACCACTCGGTCAGTAACCTTTCCCTGTCCCGTGTGTGTTTGTTAACAAAATAAAACCAAAAGCCTGCTTATAAACCTGTCTCTGGGGGTCGGCGTGGGGGTTGTTTGCACCAGAGCCCCTGGTGGTGTGCAGGGTGGCGGCCCAGGACGGAAGCCACTCTCGGAAGCCCATGACCGTCCCCCTGCGCGTTCCGCCAGGCATAGCTGGTGTCCAGGGAAGCTTCGGTGGCCAGGTTTTGGTAGGCCGGGCCATTTTGAGGCGGTTGAACCCTTCAACAGGGAGAAAATGATGCGTCCTGGCTGAAAGAGACGGGCCGTTTGGTTCTGCTCCATTTGCAACAGGAGGGAAGAGGTCAGAACCGGCCTGCTGCCCAGCATCCTCGTTGACAGAGGACAACTTCTAGCCTGTGTGTGTGTGTGCACGTGTGCGCGTATTTGTGTGTGCACACGTGTGTGCATGTTTGTGAGCGTGAGCGCATGTGTGCGTGTCTGGGTGCGTGCATGTATGTGCGTGTACATGTGTGCATGCGCACATGTGTGCATGTGCGTAGGTGTGTGCATGTGTGTGCGTGTACATGTGTGTGCATGTGCGTGTGTACATGTTTGTGTGCGTGAGCACATGCGTGTGCATCTGGGTGTGTGTATGTGCGCACACATATGTGGGTGTGTGTGTGTGTGTGTTTGTGCACACGTGTGTGTGTGCGTGTGTCCGTGCTGCATGAGGCCTGCATTCGGCATAACTAGCCTGGGGCTGATGTTCACGGAGAGATCTCGTGGCACAGCCGAGGACCGCAGCCTGCAGCCACCACCCTGCACTCTGCCCGACGCGACCAGGCAGACATGACCGTGAAGCCCGCCAGGAAGGCTGTGGCCAGGCCACCACTTTGACCACCCCCCCCCGGCAGGAGGGCGAGGTTTGGCAGGTGATGGTGGTGTAACGGGTCTGGGGATATCAGAGTACCTGCTGTCCACGGAAAGGTTCCAAACTGCCCCCTCCCTCGTGAGGCAACACAAGATCCAGCAACCAAGTAAGAGGCTTTTCACACAATCCTTTATTGCTCCCAGAGTTACACTGACAGTCGTTTAAACGGCAAGCCAGAGAAAGCGGCTGTCTCTCTGCGCCCCTGACCGGAGGTTATTCCGCGCTGGTGAAGAGCCTTTCGCACACATGTAACTTGGTGCATTTTATAGAAAACGTCTAATTGAATTACCAAGTCCATGCTTTGAAATTGTATCCACGAGGACAAAACCTCAACACCCAAATGTTTTTAGTATCTAAGTCAAAATATCAAAGGGTTTGCTACATAGTCAGAAATGCACACACCACTATCCCGAAAATGAAGGCACGTTTTCTGATAACCAGTGAGAAGGAGACATGTGGCATGGCCCCAACGGGGGTGACCCCTGGGGACACCGTGCAGGGGCCTGTGCTCCGCGGCCGCCAGCGCGCAGGGCTCGGACCCAAAGCCACGTCACTTCCTAGGAGGGTGGGGGGTATGCTGAGGGCAAGGAAGGCACGGGAGCTGCTCCCCTCCCTGCCGTGCTGTGGGGCCTCTCTGTGTCCCCCACATTGCTCAGGCGCTCCCAGCTTTCCCGAAACAGAGCTTAGAAAGCTCCAGATTGGTTTGGTAATTCCACTCCCCAGAATCCAAATGCTGTCCCAGCATCAAAGCAGAAAGTGGCAAATTGGTAACATACCCAGACAAGAGACCTTCATGGTAATCCTCGTTTGTTCCACAAAACTTAATGGAAAACAAAACACAAAGCTCTCGAATAATATTTATCAATATATATAATTTGCCATCCAAATACTTTTTAAAAAGTAATAAATATCTCATTATTACACATGAAATTTACATGGAGTTCTCTCCTGATCCTTGGATTTTCACATCAGATGTTTAATTCTTATCTAATTCTGAATGCAAACAAACATTCACATACTTAATTTTTTACAATATTTATTCTGGAACAAATTTTATTCAAAAGGCAAATGAACAGAGAACATTCCACTTGCCACCAACACATAGTCATTACAGAAAAAGGTAATTCAGTGTTCAAAGATGGATATGCCCATTTATTTCTGCTGTGTTGATTGCTGCTTGATTCGGTTGGATAGAAAATTTGGTGGGGGGAGAAACATCCCAGGTGAGTGTGAGCTCCTTGGCTGTGACATGCAGGACCACACGTGCTCTCCCTATACACTGATCTCTACCTACAGCATTGCAAAGTGAGCTGCAACGTCATCTGGCACTTTCGTCCATGAGAATGGTCCTCCCAGCCCTCCAGGAGGAGCTCAAGGGACTCCTTTATTCAGGGCATCGGGGAGGCAGGAGGAGGCCTGAGGGGGGCACCGCCAGCCCCCAGTGTCCCTGCTGACGCCAGCCACTGTATGTGAGGGTGCCCGCCCCCCCGGGGCCCCCAGCCTGTCCGCCTGCTCTGGCACTCCCACCCCACCGGCCTCCCACCTGTCTTCCAGCTTGCAAAGCCTTCAGACTCTCCACATCCACCTGGGAGCCCCCGCCTCCACTGTCCTGTGGAACATGACCCCGTCAGCCATCAGGCTTGTCACACTCTCGTGCCCCGTGCATGCTTGTTTCCTACGAGGGGCCCAGCACCATGCCTGCTAATAGGAACCAACGCACAGATGAGGCCAAGAGAAGCCTGGGGGGGCAGCCTTGCCACAACCGCCCCTTCTTGTCCTTCCTCCCTGGCCTCTGACAGACGCTGCACGCTGACGAAGGAAACCCTTCTTACCTCCATCTTCCACTGTCTCTCTCCCATCCCTCTGTCACTTCCACAGTGCCCCCCGCCCCAGGGTCCTGCTCCCTTTGCACACAGATCTCACATCCTGCAGCATCCAGGACCCTCCTCCAAGTGTCTGCAGATGCCAAACTCTTCACATCTGCTCAACTTTCTCCTTGTCTTTGTTGGCTAAAATACCAAGATGCAGGGGCGAGTCTCGAGGTGCACAGCCAGCCTGCACATACACACACACAGGTGCGCATCCGTCCTAATCAGTGTAGGTTGACATTCAAAGTCCTGGTATAAAATTGCAGTTTTTCTGGCTGCTATAAAGTGTGCCAGTTTTAAAACTGTGCATTTGTTGCTTGCAAACTTATAAATATGTATAAACCCCATTATAAATAAATTGTGCCTGGCAGATGGCATTTTATCCGCCAGCAGTGATTGTATGGAGTTCTAAATGCTTATTAATCCTCCACTTTTAAAACTCCGAGCATGGACTCTGGGATCTGTGACATGAGATGGTGGGAAAACAAAGTCATAAATTGGACGGGGAAAGCGCTCAGTAAGGGAGGGTTAAGGGCCGGCAGCTCACACATGATGGTGGTTCTCCAAGTCTACACTTCCCACCAGCATCGCTCAATTTACTAGAAATGCAAATTCTTGGTTCCTGTGCAGACCTCTAGGGGTGAGGCCCGGGGGGCACCTCGCTGCCCGTCCACTCGGGATCTGCGTAGCCTGGAGGCCCATCGCCCTGCTGGATCCCCCACCCCGGGAGTGTGCGCAGGTGTGCACAGGGCCTGTTTTCCACCTGGGATGGGCCAGTGGCTAAATGACACTGGGTAAGCACTGATGTGTGTCCAGCCCCGTTTCCTGCTGTTCCTCGGCGCCATCAGTCTTCCACATCACGGTGACCTGCCCAATCATGCCCTCCTCCTCGGCTTTCTTTCCTTCCCCGCCCCTCGGGCATCACCCAGAGAATCGACATACAGTCAGACCCTCTTGGGGTCTGCTTCTGAAGGGCCTCAAACAGAAACACTTCCTTGTCGGTGTAAGACTCCCATCTTTATGCCTTTTGCAAAAAGAATGAGCATAAATGCAAACCCAAGGAGGAGGGAAGAGCTATGTGCCATTTTCCATCAGGCGCTGAGCTTTATACCCAAACTGTAAAGGACCCTAATAAGTCCTGCGCTCTGTCTGAGATTCAGCCACTGTCACCACACTCCAGCAAGTCACCTGGCCCCAGCTCTCGCACTAAAAAGGGGGTTCTGCAGCAGCACGATCCTAGAATGCTCCCTTGCTTGTTATCCTCTGGGGGGGCCCTGGCACGCCCAGATTTGCAACACCTTCCTGAAAAGTGGTTTTCCCAATTCATCTCTCTCAGGACCAATTTTTAAAGTTTCACTACAGACCCAGATATTATTCTAAAACTCAGGACCGAGATTTGTTTGTGACACACAGTGACCTAAGTGCAGTATTTCCACAATCCCTGTCCCCTTTGCTATTGGGCTGTCACCACCCGCAGAAAGGTGGGGATGGACTGCAGGTGTGTGAACACAGAGAGGGAGCCCATCACACCTGCTCATGAGGTGTCCCAGGAAGCAACTGTCCTTCCTGTTTCCATATATTCACCAGCACCTCCCCTCCATCTCGCGGGACGGGGGGGTGCAGCGGTTGGGCCACCGCTCAGAGACACACAGCAACAAGCGTGAGGCCACGTGGCTCTGGGGGAGGCCTGTGATCTCATGGGAATCGCCTTCACCTGGGGACCGATTCAGGGAAAGGAGGACCAGGACATTCGTCGCAACGTGTCACTTATGAGAAGGAGCCATGCGGCATCTGGAACCGCCTGAAAGCAGCGCTCCACCCCTGCACCTGGGCTGTGGTCCACCCACCCGCCCCAACACCCGAGATGTGAACACAGGTCACTGCCACGCGGCCGCTGGGCCCCTTGGCCTCTCGGGTATAAAAGCCTGGGAGAGACTGTGTCTGCACAGAGTTGGGGCGGGAGATGGTTGAATGTGTTACCAGACAGTGCACAGGGCGGTTCAGGGCCTCGAGCGTCAGCGCTCGCTGAAACCAAGGGTGGGCAGTCCCGCATGGATCCGCAGGCTCCAAGGGGACGAGAAGGTCATTTGGAAGTCCTGCTCATTCACACGCGGTGGTGTGGGTGGGAGGGGCAGTGGGTGGGGGTCTCCGGGGCCACACCACAGAGGGGCCATTGTGGGCCTGTGGGACCTGCCATGCACGCCCGGCACGCCCAGAGGTCTAGGCTGAGAGGCAGCAGGTCCGGTGCACCGTGGGCTCCGGGGGAACCCGGCACGGTGGGCAGCGAACGTACCCGGGGATTCGGGGGTCTGGGAACACAGCCCTGCCTGGCAGAGGTGCCGTCCAGGTCCAGGCGAGGGGGGACCCAGGCTGGGCAGGGAGTGGCCTGTCTTTGCCTGGGAATCCTGAGCTCCAGGTGCAGCAGAGCCCACCCACCGTGTGGCTTGGGGGGGGGGGCACCGTGCCTCAGTTTCTCCCCCTGTGAGTGGGGCTCCCCATAATGCCCATCCCACGGCCTTGAAGGGGAGCTGCGGTGACCTGTGGAGCCCCAACCCGCTTCACACAGTGGAGGGAGGAAGATGAGAGAATGGCAGCCATCTGCTGGGTCTGCTGGGTGCTCCAGCGGCTACAGGGGTTCCCACCGGCCCTGTTGTGTTGTAAGCAATCCTGGAATCTGAACTTAAAAATGCATATTTTGAATTAATATTGAAACAAATGTGATCTCCCCTCAATATTTCTAATTTTCTAAATTGATTCTCATGCAAAAAAACAGGATATATATTGCTTATCACCACTGAGATAATCACTGACTTCACAGCAGAGAGCTCTAAACCCTGCAGATGACCATTTCTCATATCCCCAGGAGGGCAAAGAAAGCAGGTGAGCTGTCCAGGGGCTCAGGGTCCCTAACCAGCCTACTTTGCCTTTAAACATTAGCATTTGGGGTGTGCCTTTAAGATTACCCAGCGGGGCCCTGCAGGCTGTCCAGAGAAAAGTCATTGTACCCATTTTTTTATATGTGTGGACACTGGCACACAGGGGTGGGACCTCTATGTATGTCTGCAGGGATGCAGGCCTCCAGAGGACGGGGCACAGGGGGGTTCCCACAGCCGGGCCCCCACCGAACCAGCTGCTGCCCCAGCCCCGTTCAGCTCCCACTGCTTCTGGGTAACGTGGAGTGCGGTATCCACACTGCGACTGAAACCAGAACTGCACCAGGAAGAGACGGTGGTCCTACATTAGTGCCAATCCATGGCAGAACATTCTAGAAGATCGAAGCCACTGTCTTCTTGGACTCACGGGACCCTCAAAGGACGAAAACTCCTAAGAAGTCCCCACACAGATCTTCGGACCTGCCCAACCCATCCTCACCCACGAGCTCCACCCCATCTACCATCCTGGACACACACCCACCCCTGAAAACAGAAATGGGGCTCATTTAACATTAGAACTTTGCAGAATCATTACTCATCAGAGTTTGCAAAATCTACCCTTAACTCCTCGTTCCTGAAGCATCGAATTTCCTCCTGCCCCATGCCAGTGTGCAGAAAGTTCCGCTGCCCTGATCCAGGGCCGCTGCGGGCTGTGGGACGGCACGGGACAGGAGCCTGGGCTGTGGTACCAGTGACAGGGTGCCAACCAACGGGTGAGTCCTTCTAGCTTTTAAAAGACGGCATCTGTTAAATCATGAGGTAACCTCAACCCAGGTGTTTTTTAAAAGTTGGAAACACTGTTGACCTCCTGACACCAAATGACCCGGTAAGAAATCCTGGGCCCTTTCCAGGGAGCAACTGGGAAATCTGTTGCAGAGACAGCCAGCCACTTTACCCACCAACCACTCAAGAAGCAAAACCTCAAACCAATCCCCCAGACTCCCGAGTCCCCCGCCTGAGGCAAACGTGGAGCAGGAACAACAGCCATTGTGCGAATGTCTCAGGACCAAGCACGCGTGTTGACAGCGCGTGCACATGCATTTTTCTCTGCTGGATGTAACGGGGTTGGGGGGGCAATTTCCCAGCAGCTACCCCAGCAGCCTGCGGTCAGCGTACTGGCTAGCAGGACACAGAAACCAAGACTTTGCCCCCACCAGCCCTCCGCACGTACTGGTTTGTCGTCATACAGGTGAGTATGAGGGAAGCATGCTCTTGGTCACTGAGGCTCACTTTGTGCCACATCTGCCGTCAAACAGACCCCTGGACAACAGCGCTCAAGGCGGACAGCATTCCTGTGCTCGGCACCACCCGAAACAGCTGGGGCACCACCTGCTCCTTAGCGCGGCAGCACTGGCTGTCGTGCGCTGCGAGCACACAGGTGTGAGGCCGACAGCAGGGGAGGCGGCATCACCGAGGAAGAGGCACCGGCGACGTGGAGTGGCGGGCGCCAGGACCAACCGTTCATGGAGCGATACGTGCAGAGCTAAACCGCTCTGGGGAGCATCCTGCCTTCTTCTGCTACAGCTCCACGGTGATTTCCAGCCCTCCTGCTTGCTTCTCTTCCCCGAGTGCGGCTTACCAGGTAAAACCCGCAGTAACACCTTCCTAGTGGAATTTCTCAGTAGAATGGGTCAGCTGAATTAAATTTTTGCCCGGACAACTACAAACTTTTTTTTTTTCCATTAAAAACATACAGCACAGAACGTTAGTCTTACATCTTTCTTAGTCTTAAAAAATATAAATATAGAGGGATAATTTGTACAGGATGTATAGGTATGTACACCTTTAATATGCACATGAGAAAATCAGAACAAGTTTATGAAACTTGCACTTGACGGACACCTTCCTCCTGGGGCATTTGGACGAGGCTCTGAGCCCGCAGGCAGCGGCCCAAGCTTCTGGAGCCCCCATGCCCATCTCCCGGGAAGACCCAGGGCTCCTGAGCACTGGTGCGGGGTCAGGACAGGGTGGCTGGTGGGTCACAGGGTCTTCTCCACCGGCTGCTGGAGGCAGAGCTCGCTTCCGGCTGAGACGATGGGCAGGCTGTTCTCCAGGTGGTGGTTGATGAGGTGGCTGATGCTGTCAAAGACCCTGTCCTTCGTCCGGATCTGGGAGAGACACAGAGGGCAGGAACGCGTGACACACAGGCAGACGAGAGAGAACACGAGTTCGGAGCCAGCCAGACCATGGGAACCCGAGCGGCGCCTCCCCGGGGCGTCCACACTCTCAGAGGCACATCTGCCTGGTCCCACCACTTCCGTCTGTTCACTGGGCCTGTGCCCTGGTCCCTGAACTGCTACACTCCCGGTGTAGACCACCCTTGACGAAGGCAGATGAGGCCTGGCCTGGAGCCATCTCCCAGTCTGCTCTGGTTAGCATCCCCCCGCGGCCGGCCCTTTTAGCGGGGGGTGAGAGATGGGGCAGGGAGCAGGTGCGTGGCTACACCTGCTGGCCCTCCAGGCCCTTAGATGACCCTCATGATGGCTCTGGGATGCCCTGGGGGCATGCCCTGGCCGCCCCCCACCTTATTGTTAGAGGCCATCCCTGCCCTGGGGCAGGCAATCAGCTCTCCCCACCTCTCCCTCGGAGACTCTGAGGGCACTTCTATTCTCCTCCTCCCTTATCTGTCCCAGTGTTCTCACTGCCACCCCTAATGTGACCCTCTTGCCTCTCCCTCTCTACCAACCCACCAATGGGATGTCTATCTATCTCTGGGCCTTCAGCCCTGACCTCATTCCCGCCCCCAGTCTATACTCCAGGTGGGCCCATCGAAGCCCCCAGGCCATCTGCTCTGGGCTCTACAAACAAAGGCAACAGCAGAAGCTTTGGAATGAGGATGTTTTCCTCTCCTGGGGTCCCACTCTGAGGCAGGGCCCCATCGCCACCAGTCTCTGTAAGGACCCAAGGGGCAGGGACCCACTGGGCCATGGGGCTCCCAACTCCTGGGCGTTGAGCCTCATGGAGGAGGCAACCTGATGGGCACGTTCAGAAAGAAATCTTTTTGCAAGACTTTTAGGCATTTTTTCATTGAGGTTCTTTAATCTTCCCAAGTTTCTTAGAATTCCCATCCTAGAAAGACCCCAGGGTGACATGGGCAGGCCCCTTTCTTAGGGGTAAGGGACACTAAGAACTCAGCTTGAGACTACTGTTGGGGTGTTGCCTTGATGTTGACTTCTTTTTCCCACTTTTTATTTTTTATTTTTTTTTAAATATTTTTATTTATTTAACAGAGATAGAGAGCACAAGTAGGCAGAGCAGCAGACAGAGGGAGAGGGAGAAGCAGGCTTCCTGCCGAGCAGGGAGCCCGATGCGGGGCTCGATCCCAGGACCTTGGGGTAATGACCTGAGCCGAAGGCAGCCGCTTAACCGACTGAGCCACCCAGGCGCCCCTTTTTCCCACTTTTTAGCAATTAATACTCATTTAAGTTCTGGGGCAACAGGGGTGAATGAAGATTTATGACGGGAAGTGTCTGGGACAGTAGCATCCACCTGGGCTCACATCCAAACCACCTGAGTGCATTCAGTAAGCCCCATGCCCAGGCCAACTCCACCAGGAGCTCGGGGTGGGGCTCGGCCACCAGGGCGTTTCACAAAAACCCCGTGATTCCGAAATGCCGCCCAAGCGGAGAGCCCACTGGTCAGCATCTTTGGAGTGTGTAGGCTGGCCACCATAATAAACACACACACATGCAAATAAAGGCACGCAGAAGAGGTAAGTGATATAAATTTACTGCCTAAAGAAGTAGGCCAGTTTACTCTATTCCCATAAATACTTGCTGAAACTCCAGTCTGGCTCCTGCCCAGAGAACTTGCAGCCCACAGAGCTATGTGTATGGACGGAACCCCCTGCCATATGGTTCAGAAAAGAAGAAAGATCTGAAATCAATAATCTAAGCTTTAACTTTGGAAACTAGAGAAAGAATAAAAAAAAAAATTAGAGAAACCAATGGCGTTGGAAACAGGAAATCAACAGAAAAATCGATGATCTCAAAGCTGGTCCTTCAAAAAGATAAATAAAAATTAATAAGCCTCCAGCCAGGCTAAGAAAAAAATGAGAGAGGACACAAATTACTAATACCAGAAATGAAAGAAGGGCCATCACTATGGATCTTGTGGACATTAAAAGGATAATAAAGGAATATTAGAAACAACTCTAGGCCCACAAATTTGGCAACCCAGATAAAAATGGGTCCATTTCTTGAAAGACACAACCTCCTAAAACTCTTACAAGAAGAAAAAGACGGTCTGAATAAGCCTAGGTGTATTTAAAAAACTGATCAGTCATTGATAATCTGCCAACACAGAAAGCACTAGGCTTAGATGGGTTCATTGGTGAATTCTACTGAACACTTAAAGAAGAAATTGTACCAAGTCCCTACAATCTCACTCAGAAGACAGAAGCAGAAGGAATACTACTTAACTCACTCTTTGAGGCCAGTATTACTCTAATATCAAAAGCAGACAAAGACACTGCAGGAAAAGAGAACTACAGGCCAATATCTCTTATGAACACAGATGCAAAAATCCTCAACAAAACATTAGCAAATTGAATCTAACAATGTACAGAAAGAATTACACAACATGACCGAGGGGGATGTGTCCTGGGTGTGCAAGGCTGCTTCTACATTCTGAAATCAATTAACGTACTCCATCACATCATTAGGCCTAAAGACAAAAAAACTGCATGATCATATCAATAGATACAGAAAAGGCATTTAACAAAATTCAACCAATTCCTGGTAAAAACCCTCAATATACCAGGAATAGCAGGGAGGGGGAACTTCCTCCATTTGATAAAGACATCTACAAAAATCCTACCACTAACATCCTCCTTCACGAAAAGAAACTTGAACAAGGCCAGGATGTCTGGTCTCACACTCCTTTTCAACACCACAGTGGAAGTCCTAGGTATACAATAAGACAAAAAAAGGAAATAAAAGCAAAGATAGCATTTTCAACAAATGGTGCTGGAATAACTGGACATCCACATGCAAAAAAGAAAAGAAAAGAAAAAGAGCCTAGACCAGACCTTACACCCTTCACAAAAACGAACTCAAAATGGATCACAGACCTAAATGTAAAATGCAAAACTACAGAACTCCTGGGGTGCCTGGGTGGCTCAGTCGGTTAGGCATCTGCCCTCAGCTCAGGTCATGATCCCAGTATACTGGAATTGAACCCCACATCGGGCTCCTTGCTCTGCAGGGAGCCCGCTTCTCCCTCTCCTTCCCCCTTGTACTCTCTCACAGTCTCTCCACTCTCTCTCAAATAAGTAAATAAAATCTTTAAAAAAAAAACCTACAGAACTCCTACAAGATAATACAGGGGAAAGCCCAGATGACTGTGGGTTTGGTGATGACTTTTTGGATATGGCATCAAAGGCCTGATTCATGAATGAAAGAAATAATAAGATGAACTTTATTAAAATTAAAAAACTTCTGCCCCACAAGTGACACAGTCAAGAGGGTGGGAAGACTAGCCACAGACTGGGAGAAGATATTCGCAAAAGACACATCTCATGAGCTGGTATCCAAAACATACAAAGAAATCTTAACACTAACAATGAGAAAACAAACAACTAGATCTCACCAAAGAAGATGTACAGATGGCAAATAAGCACATGGGAAGATGCTCTGCATCACCCGTCATCAGAGAAACACAAATTAAAATGAGACACCACTACACCCCTATTAGAATGGCCAAAATCCAGAGCACTGACCACCCCACATGCTGGTGGGGATGTGCAGCAGGACTCAATGCTGGTGGGACTTGCCACTTTGGAAGGTGGTTTGGTGGTTTCTTATAAAACTAAACATGCTGGTGGGACTTGCCACTTTGGAAGGTGGTTTGGTGGTTTCTTATAAAACTAAACATGCGTGAGGAGGAAGGTGCTGGTGGCTGAGGCTCGGGGGCGGGGCGAGCCGTGGGAAGGAGTCTACAGGGCAGTGGGCAAGGGGGTGGAGCCCATACCTTCTGCTTTAGGCATGGTGGGCTCGAGTTGCCTGGGGAACATTTAAAGTAGGTGCCTGGCAGTTAGAAATACTGGTTAGAGATTATACATTAACAAGTACACTCCACCAACGACAGAATGATTATATCTGTTCTCCTCCAAAAGGTCACACTGGCTCGGGCAAAGCCAACCGACAGAGATGTTTCCTAATTAAAATCTGGTTCCATTGGAACAGGCTGCACACTCAGACCTGCTGCCCTTTGTCCAATGTCTCAGCTTGGGCTGGATCCACCGGTAGACCCTCCACTCCCAGAGGATCCAGCTCAAATACAACTAGCCCAAGTGGGATATAGACCCACCCAGCCACATTGCCTGGCCTCCCCCAGATTTGAAATTAAGGTGAAGTTCATGTCCTTCCTAGACCCAGTGGACACAGTGCCAGAGAATGCCAGGCTTACATCAGCCCCCAGGGGCTGCAATGTCAAGAGTCAACCTTGCAACCTTGTATGCCAATTGCTTACATCCTTCCAATCAATACCTCATCCCACATGAGCACTCATTTTCCCCAACAGCTGGAGGAAAATTTAGAAACTCACAAATAACTTAACCTCCCTTAAGACACTAAAAACAGGAAGCACATTAACCCTGAAGCAAGCGGAAAAAGGACATCATAAAGATTAAAGCAGAGATAAACAGAGAATAGGAATTATAGGAAATCAATGAAACCAAAAGCTGGTTCTTTGAAAAGACCAACAAATCTGACAAAATTGGAGGACCCACACTTCCTGATTCCAAAACTGATTACAAAGCTACAGTCATCAAAGCAGTGTGGGATGGATATAAAGATTGGCATATAAGCCAGTGGAAAAGAACAGAGGGCTTAGAAATGAATGCTGGCGTATATGGTCAAGCGATTTTTGACTGCAGTGCCAGGACCATTCAATAGGAAAGGGACAATCTTTTCAACAAATGGAGCTGGGAAGACTGGATCCACATACGAAAGAATGAAGTACCCAGAGCTAATGCCACATGCAAAAATTAACTCAAAATTGATCAAAAACCTAAATGTAAGACCTAATATTCTTAGAAGAAAACATGGGGCAAAAGCTTCAAGACACTGAATTTCCAATGGTTTGTTAGATATGGTACCAAACACAC